CTGATCTCTTATGACGACGCCCATAGGATGATGAATGAGGTATTGCATTATGATTCATTACTGTGACGAGCGCCTGGTGGTTTCACCAGCAGTAACCACTGTATCTTTGGCGTGGAATCCACAAGGAAAACATAAGAAAGGAAGACCAAAGATGACATGGAGGCGAGCGGTACAAGCGGTAACGGAAAAGGCGGGGACATCATGGAAACAGCTGGAGAAATGTTGTTGATGGCCTATGCTCCACTGGGAGTAAAAAGGGGCAAGAGAGAGAACTACTGTATCTCTATGTATGATTTTGGGGTTGGCGGGTGCTCTGAGGTAGTTTGCTTCTTCTGTCCTGTAAAACATCTACTACATTCTTTATCTCTCCTTGCTTCTTTCTTTTCTTTTCTTTCTTTTTTTCTTTTTTTTGTTTGTTGGTACTTTACTATCTAGAAACACCTGTTCTCTATTCTTCGGCTCTTATATCACCCTTTAGTGCTGCAAGTGCCGTAACATTCTTTGTTGACGGGCGCTCTGGTGTGGTTTGCTCCTTCTTTCCTACCAAACACTTATCGTCTTTATCTCTCCTACTTTTTTGTGTATGTTACTCTCTTATTGTAACGCATCTGATCTTTGGCTCTTATATGACCTTTTTGTGATGCAAATGCCGTAAAACTCTTACTAAAACTGGTCGCTTTTAAGGACAAGCGGGCTAACCCAAATTTCGGGGGTTTCCAGAAATCTTGACCTACACCAAAAGTGGGAATTGCCCTACCTATAGGAGAAGTTTGGTTTCATTGGTGTGTATGTTTTTTTTGGTTATAGAGAAAACTCGCCTTTTCTCTTAAAGAGACTGAATAAGGATCCGTAATCTTTACCTTCGAATTTCTCAAAACAGCGTTTTTTGGAATAGCCCCCTTTTGCTTAAAAGCGACCAACTAAAAACCAGCACATAATGTGTCCTTATATTTCAGACACATGGGCGGCACGTCGACAGATGAGAGCTGGCACGGAGGTCTCAACGTGTCTTACTCTGCTGGGCCTGGGTTTACTGGAGACTGGGAGGACTTGTGAGTTGTTGTTGTTGTTGTTGTTGTTGTTGTTGTTGTTGTTGTCTTACTCTGCTGGGCCTGGGTTTACTGGAGACTGGGAGGACTTGTAAGTTGTTGCTGTTGTTGTTGTTGTTGTTGTTGTTGTTGTTGTTGTTGTTGTTGTTGTTGTTTGTGGTGGTGGTGGAGATGTGTTGTTGTTGTTGTTGGTGGTGGTGGTGGTGGTGGT